GCGCGCGGCGGCGGCCGCCTCCCCGGGGCGACGCTCCCCGGAGCCGGCCCGCCCGCAGCCGAGCCCCGCACCTGCGGTCGTGAGCGGCGTTAGGGGTCCGGGAAGCCGCAGTCCCGCGTGCCCGAGGGCGGCGCTCACCGACCCGTGGGAACAGCTCGCTTAGCCGAGGAAAAATGAAGTGTCCACCATCCGGATTTTAGGGTTCCTCTTGCGGCGCAGGGGAGAAAACCCAAAAGGACGAAGTACCTAACTCGGGGTCTTCAAGTCTTAACTGGCCGCAGGTCTGACTTGCCCCGGGCGGAGAGGCTCGCTGAACGCGGGATCTGACCAGTCGGAGTGGAGGCCGCCAACCGAGCACGGCAGGCCTTGGCGGGCCGCTTCCCCGTCTGGGGCGCGCCCCGGCCCCTGCCACTCCGGACTGGCGGCGCTCGGGCGCCCTGCTGCGGTGGGCCGCCTGGTGCCTTCGAACCGAGCGCAGCGGGTCCGCGCCGGCCAGCGGGGAGAGGGGAGGGCCCCAGTGGGCTCCGCAGGCAGCGTTTCGACCCACGGCTTGGATTTGGTTTGTGGCCCTCTGCAGGACGGCAGGTCCTGCGCCGCGGTGTGGGAGGGGTCTGTGCTTCCCGTTTCTGCACTTTTTCTTTTTCCGTGACAGCTGGAGGATGGAGAGAGTATCCCAGGGCTGCGTCCCTGGAGTTCAGGCATGAGCACACTCCTAGTGTGAGGGGCTCTGTACTCCGGAGGTTTCACTCGGCTTCTCCCTAGCTAGTTTGTTGGGTGGCCACTGTGCGCGGGCAGCCAGCCCTGCCCCAGGGCGTGAGTTCGGACCCTCCTGCACGCCACCCTTCGGCTGCCCACAGGCTGGGCTCTGTCCTCGTGTGGAGGTGACAGTGGTGGGAAGAACAGCCGCCGCCCTGCCAGTGTGGGGCTTAGAAGAGGGCGACACAGACTGCCCAGTACGCAGCGTTTCAAACTGGCTGTTGGGTTTTTCTCTTATTACCAAATTTTTGTTTGGGGAAGGAAGAGTTACATCTTTCCAACAGGGCCTGCAAGCTATTTTGGGCGCCCTAGAATTGTTAAGGCCCCTTTTGCCTTTCCACACTTTCACCCTAAGGGATCTCTGCTCCTTCTGGTCTGGTCTGGTCTCCCTCAGCGGCCTGCTGCTTGCTGGCTGTGGAGCACAGAGCTGCTTGAGTGTGGTTGTGAAGCAGTGTAACAGACGGCCAGCGCGCTGGCTCTCTTGGCTTTTGATCTGTCTGGTTTTGACAGTAAAATCCAGGGAACTGGGGGCGTGGCCCAGTGGTAGAGTGCTTCTTAGCACATAGCATGCACAAAGCCCTGAGTTCAAGCCCCTGTACTGAGAAAAAAAAATCTGTTTTGAACCAACTCAGAGACAGACACGTGCAGCTGCATTTGCTCCCTGTGCCCTGTCTTCTGGGGACTACCCCCGGATCTCATGGGTTTTCGGGAAGCTCCCTGCCAGGGCTCCCTAAGGTCTTCCTGTTAGTGTTTGGGTAACCACCTCAGGCAGCACAAAAGCTGGCCAGCCCCGGCATTTCCCAGGTGACGATCCACAGGATCCACAGCCCCTGCTGTCGTGGGCATGTGGGCTCTGGCTGCCCTGCGCTCTGTGTCCCTCCCCACTGGAAGCACCCACTCCCTCCTGTGGCCAGTTCAGGAGGCCAGGCAGGTTTGTCTCACTCCCCTCCTGGCCAGGTGTGGAGCTGGTTCTGCAGCTGGCATCTCTCCAGGAGACCCGAGAACCGCTTGGGACTGCAGGCTCTTCTTTCAGGTGCCAGGCTGGTGGTGCTGACAGCTGTGCTGGGAAGGTACTGTGGGCGCAGCTCGCATGGCTGGCAAGAGGTCAGCAGGCAGGTGGCCCCCACTGCTGCTGCTGGGGCTGCTGGTCACAGTTGCCACTGTCCACCTTGTTGCCTGTCCCTACACCAAGGTGGAGGAGAGCTTCAACCTGCAAGCCACACATGACCTGCTCTTTCATCAGCTGGACATGGACGAGGTGAGGCTGCTGCCCTGCCCGGTGGGCGAGGGAGGGTCTGTGCCCCAGTCCTCTTGCTGATGCTCCCATCCTTGGCTTCTCTGCAGTATGACCACCATGAGTTCCCTGGGGTCGTCCCCAGGACGTTCCTCGGACCACTGCTGCTCGCGGTGTTCTCCAGCCCTGTGGTGTGTGTGCTCTCTCTGCTGGAAGCGTCCAAGTTTTATTCTCAGCTGATAGGTAAGGGGGTCTTCAAGTGAGGGGAGCATGGTGGCACGATCACCTTCAGCCACAGCCCAGCGCCCAGACCTGCCTAGGTGTGGGGGTGCACACGCTGTGTGTGGGGTGATGCGCCTTCCTACAGGGGCCCTGCTCCCCGTTAGGTCCCAGAGCCTTTGCTGTAGGGCGGCCCACTTGCACGGGGCACACGTGGACAAGCTTGCACCCCAGGGCCATCATGCAGGGCTGCTTGCAGACCCTTCTGGGGCTTTCCATGTCTATCTGAGAGCTTTTGAAAACATATAGCGGACACATGATGGCAGTACTGAAGGCTGGAGTGTAGTTACCCACGTGCGTGCAGCATGTGGTGATCAGATCAGGAAATGAGCTCACATCCCTCTCCCCCAGGGCTCATTGCTCCTGCAGGTGGAACCTGTTTTCCTTCTTTTCCTTGTTCTTTTGAGACAGGGTCTCACTTTATAGCTTAAATTACCTATATAGCTCATGCTGGCCTCAGACTTGCTCAGATCGATCCTGCCTCAGCCTCCTGAGTGCTGGGCGACTTGCAGGGGCCTGGTGACCTTGGATGTGGTGATCTCCACCACGTGGGCTGGGAGCAGGTCCTGCCCGCAGTGTGGAGGTGGCAGGGGCATGGGCCCAGTGGGCGTGGGGGCCACGTGGGCAGGAGATCTGCAGGTGTGCAGTATCTGGGTGCCCCACCGCCAGGGGCTTCTGCAAACTCCAGTGGAGTACACTGGCAGGGCCCTTGGAGTCACCGTCCTGCCTGCTTGGCATCTCCACGCTTTGTTTCTTTATTTAGTCAGAGGAGTGCTCGGGCTGGGTGTGATCTGGGGACTGTGGACGTTACAAAGAGAAGTAAGGCGGCAGTTTGGAGCCACAGTAGCTACCATGTTCTGCTGGGTGACGGCCACACAGTTCCACCTGATGTTCTATTGCACGCGGACGCTGCCCAATGTGCTGGCCCTGGCTGTGGGTATGTGGTGGTGCTGGGCCGCAGATGCGGCTGTGCAGTTGTGAACATGTATCTGCCTGCAGCAGCTGCTCCGTGGGTGCCTGAGTCCCAGCCTGGGGTCCCCGTGCTCAGAGTGGGTTCCCATTCACCCTCCAGTGGGCAGTGGTATGACAGAGGCGCTGTGTCCCCTCGCATGGTGCCCCGGGGCCACCCGGCCCACTGACGTCCATCCGCCCCTTGCAGTGCTGCCGGCCCTGGTGGCCTGGATGAGGCACCTCTGGGCCCGCTTCATCTGGCTCTCGGCGCTGGCCATCGTGGTTTTCAGGGCTGAGCTCAGCCTGTTGCTGGGCCTCCTGCTGCTGCCACCCCTGCTCCGCCGGCGGCTGTCCATGGTCACCCTACTTCGCCACACGGTTCCCGCGGGGCTCCTCTGTCTTGGTGAGCCAGTGCCCTTGGGCATGCTAAGTGCATTGTGTCACCTCGTTTCACAAAAACAGTAAAATACACTTACTGGGCTGGGGTATAGCTCAGTGGCACGGTGCCTGCCTGGTAAGCATGAGGTCCTGAGCTCAATTCCTAGCACCAAAAGAAAAGAGCCAAGTATTTAACTTTTAAAATGACTCTGTCCGGCTCTGCCTCCACTGTACCCTGGGTCCCTTGAGCTACCCAGCCAGGGGTGACCTCACTCAGGAAGCTCCGTCTTCAGGATGGACGCTCCCCGTGTGTGGAGTGGCTCAGTGCACGAGCCACGAGGGCCACTTTGTGGGGACTGCCATCCTGTGGTGGGGAACTTGGGTCCCAGCCTGAGCTGCCTGCGAGTCCCTTCCCATCCAGAGGAAGTTTCGTTCTGTTGTCAGGACTGACGGTCGCTGTGGATTCCTACTTCTGGAGACACCTCGTATGGCCAGAAGGGAAGGTGCTGTGGTATAACACTGTGCTGAACAAAAGTTCCAACTGGGGCGTATCCTTCCAGCCTCCCTCCTGCTGGGAGGCCCTGGGGAGCGGGGGACCCATGCCCCTTCTGCTGGTCCTGGGACTGCTGGGGGGCGGCGCTGGCCGTGGCTGCCATCCCTGTGGAGACAGCTACTGTGGACAGCGGCCCTGTGGACAGTGCAGTAGCCTCCTTAACTCGCCTGTAGACTTCTCCACTCCTGTGGTATTTCTACTCAGCTCTGCCCCGAGGCCTGGGCTGCAGCTTCTTCTTTGTGCCCTTGGGCGCCATGGACCGAAGGACCCATGCGCTGATGCTGTCAGCCCTGGGCTTTGTAGCCCTGTATTCACTCCTTCCACACAAGGAGCTGCGCTTCATCATCTACGCCTTCCCAGGGCTCAATGTCGTGGCCGCCAGGGGCTGCTCCTACCTGTGAGTGCTCTGTGGGTGGCACTTACCTGTACTTTTTTTTTTCCCCTTGCTTTCTCTTTCTTGATGCCAGAGATAAAACCCAGGGCTGTAGGTCCTGGGGAATGCTCATGCCTGAGCAGCCCAGCCTCACACTTGTCCCTGGGCTCTGCTCATTGACTGTGGGGATGGAATTTATAGTGTGCATGGGAGCGTGGCGCAGCCAGTGTGCTCCTCCTGTGTCGTGGCTGCTGCCTTGCTGGCTGCTGCCTGGCTGTTCCTGTCCCTGTGGTGCTCTGCTAGCTCAGAGCTGACCCCTGAGGAAGAGTTGCAGGTGCAGGCACTGGTCACGGAGCTGGGACTCAGACAGCTCCACACCTGTAGGCTGACTGGTTTGGTGGGAATCTCAGGTCGGGCGACAGTCTCTGTGGGTGGCCCAGTTGCTGGGGGGGGGGGGTGAGGCCCAGGGTTGGGGTCACTGGAGGCTGGGGTAGGGCTGCTGGGGGTTGGGCGCTCCACATGTCCACACTGCCCATTTTCTCTTGTGGATTGGAGCAGATCCAGCCCAGGCAGCAGCCGCGTGGCCTGGACTCAGCAGTTGGTAGGAACAGTGGGTGTCGTGGGGCCTGAGAGGCCCAGAAGCCTCACTCTGGGGGCGTGAGGAAGCCGTGATACACTCCCTGGACGAGGTGCTGCGCCCAGGCAAAGGCTGTCACAGCGTCCTGGCCCACACTGACGACGCCCACCAAGGGGCCGACGCCTCCAAGGAAAGGACCCTGCCCGCCATCATCTGACCTGCCTTCTCATGGCCTGGTTCCTGTCACTCTTGCCGCCTTGTCCTTGCCCGGTCAGGCAAGCTTTCATTAAGCCTGCTCTTTTCACTGTGGCTACCTCAGCTCCCCAGCGGGTGTAGACCCAAGCGTGCATCCCAGGGAGGGCAGGGTCTCATAGAGAAATGGAAGAACAAAGCAAGGGCACTTGGTGGTGCTAGCCTGGTCTAGGGTTCTACGTTGAGAGGTAGGTGAGGCTCAAGCCTCTTGTTCTTCGTATCCTAGGCCCCCCATCTGCTCTGTGATTTTATTTTTTAAATTTTTTTTCTCTGTATTTTAGGGGTGTTCAGGGTCTCACTACTAGATCAGACTTGGCCTCCCAAGTGCTAGGTGCACCCACTTGCATTTGCCATCTCAGTTTGTCCTGTGGGCGGGGCCAGCATAGCAGGCTCCGGGATTGAACCCCTGGCCTTGTGCCTGCTTGCAGGTGCTTTAACCGCTGAGCTCTTTGGCCGGCCCTGCTCTGTGACTTTAACTTCCCCAGAAGGCTCACGTGGTGAGCTGAGCATGAAGCAGCCTGGCCTCCAACCTGAGTAGAAGCTGGTGAAGTTCGGCAGGCACCTTGGGTGGAATTTCAGAGTTCTTATGGTAGTATCTGAGCGGTGTGTGGATTTGGTGATAACTTGATGAGTTGAAGGCAGGCCATGTGCCTTGTGGCCCATTTGTTGGCTCCTTAGATGTTGGTCTTTCCTCGACCCTGTATGGAGTGTGCCCTGTTTTTTAAAATTTATTTATTTATGTGGTACAGGGTCTCACTATGTAGCTTGGACTCGTAGTGATCCTCCTGTCGCAGCCTCCCTAGTGCTGGGATTACAGGCGTGCCCCAAAATGCCCAGTTTCTGGCTGGCGAGATAGCTCAGTGGACTAAGCACCTGCTTAGGCAAGCACAGGAACAGTGCCACGCTGGCCCTGCCCCCAAGACCCGGGCATGATGGTGCATGCCTGTAATCCCAGTGCTGGGGAGGCTGCGACAGGAGGATCAGTATGAGTCTGAGCTGTGTAGTGTGACCCTGTACCAGGTACATACGTACATATACACATACATACATACATACATACATACATACGATGCCCGGTTTGGGTGGCTGGCATGACACTCTGGGGCTGGCACAGCATATGGTACTGGGGATTGAACCTGGGTGCTTATGCTTGCCAGGCAGGCACTTGACGGCCAAGCTACCTCCCCAGCCTCAAATGTGCCCATTCTTTTTCAGTCTGAATAACTATAAAAAGTCCTGGCTGTACAAAGTGGGGACCCTGCTTGTGATTGGACACCTGGTGGTGAATGCTGCCTGCACAGCCACATCCCTCTACGTGTCCCACTTCAACTACCCTGGCGGTGTGGCAATGCAGCGACTGCATGAGCTGGTGGCCCCAGGCACAGGTCAGTGCCCGTGCGACCAGGGCACAGCATGCACCAGCGGGGCGTGAGGCTGAGCCTGTGTGTTTCCTAGATGTCCACCTGCACATTGATGTGGCGGCTGCGCAGACGGGGGTGTCGAGGTTCCTGCAGGTCAACAGCGCCTGGAGGTATGTGTGCACAGGGACTGCCAGTGTCACCTGCAGGTGTCCCGCAGTGGGCACAGCTGGGGCAGCCTGCTCTCCTCCTCAGGTATGACAAGAGGGAAGACCTGTGGCCGGGTGCTGTGGGCATGCTGGCCTACACCCACGTCCTCATGGAGGCTGTGCCCGAGCATCTTGCCCACTACAGGGATACCCACCGCGTCCTGGCCCGCATCGCGGGCACCACTGGTGTGAGTCTGAAACTCACCAGACTGCCTCCGATAGACGTCAACATGCAGACGAAGCTGGTGCTTCTGGAGCGACTCCTCAGGCCATCCTGAGGGCTAGCCCTGGGTGGGGAGCAAGGGGCCCAGACGGGCTCACCGGTGCCCAGGGCTGCTGAGGACACATGGCCCCGCACCTCCTACCTGCCGCCATGGTGGGCAGCAGGTCCTTCACTGCCAAGCCCAGGCACCACCTGTGTCCACAAGGGGACAGGGCCAGGCCAGGACCGTCCCAGGTGCCCAGCCACGTGGTGGCCCCAGTGCATACAGAATCTGCGCAGCTGTCAGGCCCCCTGCTGCAGGTGTGTCTTTTGCGTGCCAGACAGGGCTGGTAAGAGAGAACACATTCAAAAGGGGGTAAGAATAAACTTCATTATTTTCTTAAGCACAATACTTCTTGTTTTCTCTTCTGGTGTGAGCCTTTACATGTCACCCTGGAGCCTGCCTCACCAAGGTGAAGTGCGGTTTGGGGCCTTTGTGCCCCCCAACATCACACACAGAATGTGGCCCCGTTAGGCACTGGGCTGCCGCCGTGCGCGCACACACGTCACACAGCTTACGCAGCTCATACCACACAGAAGGCATCTTGCTGAGCTTTGAGAGCAGCCGTGACACCAGTTGGCTGCCCCTAGCTGCTGTCTCAAGTGTGTTCCCTGCAGTTGGCAGTGTGCTGGCGGTCTCCACGTAAGGCTTGGAGAGCAGGCTTCAGGCTGCAGCCTGTTCAGGTCCCGCCACACTCGCCACCCCAGGCAGCAGGCGCCTCCTCTCCTGCTGTTGCCAGTCAGAGCTCACACATTATCAATGATCAGTGTGCCGTCTGGACTGCTGCCTGACCTTGGCTTTTGCTCACAGTGTACAGGACCGGCCGCTGTGGCCCGGTGCAGCCCAGCGAGGTGTCTTCTGGGACCCTGGGCCAGCTGCATCCTGGAGGGTCCTGGTTGCTTAGGTGGGAGCTGCTTTTTTTTTTTTAAGTTTTTTTTAAGATTATCGTTCGATCACTTAAGAGACTATTCCTCATGCAAGGGCCAGAACAGCCTCAGGCTCAGCTTGGACACTGGCACACTGGTCTGGACTGCATCGCTGGATAAGCCTTACGCTGACCAACTGGAGAATCTGAGAAAGTTCAGTAAAATGTGAGCAGCTTACAAAAGCACTTAAAATTTGGAACTAGTGTTATAAATTATACAAATAACAAATCAGTTTTTCATGATGCATATTTTTCTTTTAAGAACATTAGAAAAAGTACTGGTGGTTTCCAAGCGCTGTGAAACATTTATGGAGTCAAGGAGGACAGGACTAAGCAGCCGAGCTTGACGTGTGGCACAGTGCATTGGACGGCGCACCAGCAGGGTGTGCTGGCAGGAAATGATCGATTTTACAGGCGGTAGTCAGTGTTCGTGTTCAGCACATTCTCACCAAGTACTTCTGAGCCAGGAGTATCAGTGGTGAGCTGCTTCTGTCAAACGCATCTCAGCGACTGACTGCCTCCTCATGAACTCCTTTGTGGGTGCCCATGGTGCGCTCCCTCAGTACCAGGTCCCAGAAATGGCAGCTGATCCGGCTTCCACATTGGCTGACCTGTATGGCCACCGACTGGGTCATTCCGATCAGCGGGAAGCCCAGAGCACCACCGCTCATTTCCCGCCTTTTCATTTCCCGGGAGCTGCATTCGGGCCAGGATTGTGGTGCTGGGTTTGCTTGTGGCTGTTAGGCTTCCAGGCCCCTCCGTGGACAGAAGCATGCCCATGTCACACGCACGCATAGCCATGCACACTCACACAGGTGAGCAGCCACACGGCCACACCTGCGCCTCTTCACGCCACTCCATGGTCCGCTCCTCTGCTGTCCCTCGCCCACTGTGGAGTGCTGCAGGGCCTCTCCCCAGGAACACACACACACACACACACACACACACACACACACACAGGAAGTAGTTTGAGAACTCAGTGTTTTCTGCTTTTGATTGTTTCTTTTAGCCAGGCTGGTGGGCACATTCTAATTTTTTTCTAATTTTTCATTATGAAAAATTTTAACATGTAAATAATGTGAAAGAATTTTAAATGAGTGCTTGCCTGGCAAGTGCAAGGGCCTGAGTTCAATCCCCAGTTCTGCCAAAATAAAATAAAATAAAATAAACAATCTGAAAATTATACAGTGATCACAATATACACAAAGACTAAATGAAGTTACTGAACATTTGATTTGCCCTTTCTACAGATGTTGTCCTACTGGAAAGGTGTACAGCATGCACGCGCGTGCACACACACACACACACACACACCCTCTGCCTGTATTTTGTGGAGCCCTCAGAGGTCACGCTAGAAGACCTCTCAGGATCCCTGAGGTGGATCCTGAGTGCTTTTACATGCATCTCCGAAAACAAGGCTGTGGCCCATATAAGTCAATACTTTTAACATGTATTTATTTGGTACAGGGTCTTGCTGTGCAGCTTGGACTCAGTGATCCTCCTGTTCAGCCCCCCAGAGCTGGGATTACAAGTGTGTGTATCCACGCCCAGTTTTAGTGGCCTGCACAGCATGAGGTAGCAGGGATTGAACCTGGGTCCTTGCGCTTCCCAGGCAGGAGCTTCGACCGCCAAACCATCTCCCAAGCCCAAGTCAATACTTCTTGTTTTCTCTTCTGGTGTGAGGCAAGCACTGACCATGGAGCTGTACCCCGATGCTCGCGGTATGCCTAGTAAGACGACCCCAGATGCTATCTGTCCACAAGCAGACCACTGTAGGTGTTCCTACACCATAAACCACTTGAAGTCCTTCCACTGGTACGTCCTGGTGCTCTCTTCCAAATCAAAGTGGTCTTCTCCATGCACTCCTGTGAAAGATGGGCCTAACATGCCATGGATATGGAAAGCGAATGCTTTCTCAGCTCGCCAAGTGTCCACGCGTCACTGTCCCCATGGCCAGGGGCTGAGCATTCCCCTCGCCGAGTGTCCGCTCCGCCCCTCAGCCCCCCTTTGAGTAATCCCTGATCTGCTTCTACGCAATCACTTGTTCCGTTGTCACTGGGTTGCTGTAAGTTTCATAGTTCCTTCTGTGTTTTGGATTCAAGTCCTTTTTAGGTAAAAATGACTTGTGCACACATCTTCTCACTCTCTAAAGCTGCCTTGGAAGGGATGCTTGTGGCTCAGTTCAGTTAGTTTTTTGCTTTATGGATCATACATTGGTTGTTGTAGAGAAGTCCTGACCAACCCAAGATTTTGAAAATTTTATCTTATATTTTTGGAGGTGGTAGGAATCAAACTCAAAGCATTGTGCAGGTGAGGCCAACCCTCTGCCCTGTTTTCTGCTAAGTTTTTGTGGTTTTTTGTATTTTAGGACAGGGTTTACAGGGTATGCAGGGTCTCACCGCATAGATCAGACTTGTAGTGATCCTCCTGTTTACAGCCTCCCAAGAGCTGGGATTACAGGCACACACCACCACGTCCAATCTCAATTGCGGTGTCAGTGCACCCCAGGGGCGGGGCCAACAAGGCAGGCCCGGGGATCAAACTCCCAGCCCCTGCATCTGCCTAAGCAGGCATTTTATTTATTTTTCATTTTATTAAAAAATTAAAATATATTTTAAAAATAGGAATAAAGAATTATATATATTTACACATAAGTCCAGAAATCTAGCCATATACCCCATTGTTGCAGGACAGTCCCACAACACTCCTTTTCCTGTCTCCTGCCTTCATTCACCACCCCCTTCCTTTTTTTTTAAGCAGGCATTTTAATCTGCTGAGCTATTTGGCCAGCCCTTCTGCTAAAAGTTTGTCTTAACTTTTGTATTTATATTTAAATTTGTGTGTGTGTGTGTGTGTGTGTGTGTGCGCACATGTGGTACCAGGGATTGAACTCAGGACCTTGCACTTGCCAGGCAGGTGCTTATGCCTGCTGAGCTGTATCCCCAGCCTCCTACATTTTATATTTAGAACAGTGATCCTTTTGAATTTTTTATATGGCAGGAGGTATGGACTGAAGGCTTTCACATATGAATATCCAGCTGCTCACACCATTTGTTGGAAAGATTATCTGTTTCCTACTGAATTGAATTTTTTTGTACTTTTCTAAAAAATTAGCTCATTCTAGAGCAGCTTGGTGGTGAGCACTTGCCTAGCAAGTTCAAGGCCCTAAGGTTTGAGCCCCAGCGCCACACACACACACACACACACACACACACACACACACAAAGTTGACTAAAAAGGCCAAGAAGACAAACCATAAGTCAAGACTGGGAGAAAATTTCTGTGAAAGATATATCTGATTAAATAGTATTACAAAAATACACAAAGAATTCTTAAAATTCAATACTTTATTTAAAAATGGACAAAATATCTGTACTCTTCACCAAAGAAGATACACAGATTTCAAATAAGCACATGAAAGCTGGGCATGGTGGTGCATGCCTATAATCCCAGCACTCAGGAGGCTGAGGCAGGAGGATCATTGGGAGTTTGAGACCAGTGTGAACTACAGAGTGAGCTCAAGGCCAGCCTGAACTGCATAGGGAGACCCTGTCTCAAAAAAAAAAAAAACAAAAAACAAATCACATGAAAAAGTACATCGGCAGTTGTAGAGGCTTCTCTGGTGCCTGTTAGTTTTGGGTTCTTGTTGTTGTTGTTGTTCTCGGCACCTCCAGTCTCACGCCTCCACATGGAGGTGCTGAGCCAGTTGTGCTTTCAGTCGGAGCGCAGTGTAACCATCGTGGGGCCGCGCTGAGTCCGGCTGCTGAGGAGCCGCTGAGCCTCCAGGATGACATGAACCACTGCTCCTCACGCCTGTAGCAACTGGTGCCTGGAGTCCCGCGAGGCGCTCAGCTTGGTCAGCTGGAAATCCTGCAGTGCGTCACTGACTGCATCCTCGACCTGCAGGCGGTCCTAGCCCAGCAGCCCCGGGACCCCCAGACGGTCCGCATCTCCCCATCCAGACATCGGGCTTGCTCCCGAGCGTGTGTTCTCCAACGGCAAGAGGCGTTTCCGCCACTGACCCAGCATCCTGGCACATCCAGAACCCGGTGCCGGCGTCCGCCCATTTCGCCTGGACCCAGGGACTCTCTTGGGCTGGAAGCCCAAGGGCATGGAAGAGCCCCAAGCTCACCCGGGCACACTCTACGTCCCCAAAGCCCTGCCTCGAGGATGGACCTAGCGTCCAGGAGTGAAGGACTGTGAATGTGGGCTAGTGCTGACCACCAGTTGGGTGATGTCTCCCTGCCCTCACCCAACCCCAAGTTTTAAAGACTTATCTTTTCAGAGCACGGAGGGCTTGGGGGTAGGGGATAGCTGCTCTATGAACTCTGCCCAGGCAGTGTTAGAGCTGGTCTTCTGGTTTCCTTGGAGAAGGGTTCTGTTGCCCAGATTAGGGACTCTGTAAGAGTATATGG